GGGTGCACTGGTCGTGTGCCGAAGCTGAAGCTATGAGCGGCATTGCTGTAGTCCTCGCCAGACTTGGGGTTCAGTTAGCGCTCTCTCGACCGCTCAGCGGCCTCAGTTGCCGTTAGAATATCCCACAGGCCCTTTTTTATACAGGGAAATTCTCTGATCGCGCAAGAGAGACAGACACACAGAGAGAGTGAGAGAGCGCGAGAATGAGAGCAAGAGAACGAACAAGAACAAGACTGAACAAACAAAACAGTCGACACGACGGCGCGACGAGTTCGCTCTGAGTTGAACAACAGCAAAAACAGGGAATTTCTTGCTGCTGCCGCTGCTGCTGCTGCTGGCCTTTTACGAATTCTATAAATCAGTCTTTCATTTTCTCTTTCACATCATTCAGCCATTTTCTCTTTGACGCGACGGACGCGTCTGCAGCTTGCAAACGGACGAACGGCAACGAAACGGGCAACGAGCGCACGAACAAACGCTTGGGAATTTGGTTTTTTGTGTGTGGATTAATTAAAACAATGTTCTGTGTTTCGTGTTCCCTGCTAGCATAAAATAATGCAAATGCCACAAAGTGCTCAAGAGTCACAAATGCAATAACAAAATGCACCAAGCGTGTTAAGCAAGCAAGCAGCAGCAGAAAAAGAAGAAGCAGAAAGAAGCAAACAAACGTGCGTGAGCTGTGATTCTGTGCGTGTGTGTTTGTGTTAGTGTATGTGTGCGTGTGAAACATTTAAGCTTTAAGTGCTGCTAGCGTGCGCTGCGCTTTGGATAGCCGCCGACGACGCCAAACGTTTGGAGGAGCTGCTGTCTAACATTAAATGTTAGTATACCAACACAAGCATAGTCAAATATGTACACATCAACATACAAACAGCAAAAACAACAAGAACGAAACGTCTGCAAAGATGCGACGGCCTGTGTCTGTGTGTGTTAAAAATAAAAGTAATCAAAAGGGGGCAGCGATTACGTCGCCGTCGACGTTGTCGTCGCGTGCATTGCTCCCTCTCAGCTGCTGCGCATGTGTTTGTAGTTGTAGTAGTGTGTAGTGTGTAGTGAAGTGTGTTTTACATACAAACATATTTATACTTACATACATACATATATGCATGCTTTGTATGTGTGTTTCAATTTTGTCAAACTATTACAGCAGTGCTTACATTTACATCATATGTTAAATAAACTGTTAACATTGCCCCTCTGTCCCTCGCCTGTCGTTTGTTTTTGTTTGCCCACGCAAATATGCAATGATTTCTTTCTCTCTCTCTTTTTTTTTTGTTTTGTCGCGCTTTGCCAACCAACCGCCGCGACCTCTCGCTGTGCGCTTTTCATTCATACCTTGCAAATGAAGCGTGCTCAATTGTGCGACGCGGGTGCGGGTGGTGGGTGAGTGGGCTGCACAGTGGAGGAGCGGTTCGGGGCTGGAGTCTGTGTTGGGTGGTGGATACACACACACACACGCAAATACACAGGCGTCTTACAAGCGGAAGTGGAAGTCGCTTTATGTGTGTATGTATGTATGTGTGTATCTAATGGGATTTTCTAATAAAATTTAAATTGTTGCCGTTTTGACTGGGCGGCCGCCTATGAATTTAATATGAAGTGTGTGAAAAGTGTGCAACGACAATGGGAAATGAAATACGAGTCCATAATTTACAACCAAAAAAGTTTTCAGTCTAATAAATTGTCGGGAATCGACTTGAATATGCAATGTAGAAACAATTTGAAACAAATTACAAGCAAAACAAATTGAATTCAGCAATAAATATCCTCCTATAAGACAACTGTTAAAATTAAGAAGGGAAATATGCTTCACAGCCGAAATACTAAAGTGTAAAATTGCCGTCGCTAAAACATAAAAACAAAACAGAAAAAAAAAGGAAATAAATATAAGTTTAAAACAGAGTTAAAGTTACGAATTCGTGTGAAATCCACTTTGTTCAATAATTTGATTGTTTAATATACAAGTAAAGATAATTTAGAATATTAAACAATCTCCAAGTCAAAAAAATATCGTGAAAGATTAAAAAATAACTCGGCAGAAATTTTGAAAATGTGGAAAAGTGCTGTTTGAACTTCAGAATTTGTGTTGTCAAAACATGTATTGAGCTGAATTTGTTAAAACAAATTAAAAGAAATATAAAATTCACGGATCAATACATAAAAAGTTTATTGGAACTGTAAACGAAAAGTTCTTAGATTAATGAGAACAGCAAGTTTTTAGCATAACTTACTTGGAGTAGAAACTGCGCAAAGGTTTGAAATACATAAAAACAATTACATAAATAAAACCCAGGAATACGAGTTCTCAAGTTTTCAACATATGGTTTCTAATATACAAACGAAATAATAATTTAATGCCGGAACAAGAAAATTCAGGGTTTTTGTAGGTTTTTGTGTGAGGAACTTAAGTAACCTGTAAAATGAAGTGCTTATACATATGTGGAAAATGGTTAAAATCCATTAGATGTTTTTACTGCAAATAGAAAAGTCCGAATAGATGAGAATATTACAAAAATTGTATTAAACAGACGTCCTTTTGAAGGTTGATTTATGTTCTTAGTTTATATTTATCGGTTCCAACTTAAGAACTCACAAATATACAAGAGAATATCCTGAAAATGTTGAACACTGAAATACTGATTAAATATCATCTAAGGAAAACTGTGAGAAAAAAAACTATCTTACCAAACTTAAACAACAAAATTAAAAGTATTAAAAGCATTAAAAAAAGACACTTTTTATATTGAACAAACCCTTTGCCCCTCCTCGTACATTTATTTGCTGTTAATCCTCGAAATTAATAATACAAAAATAAAAAATACCCTGTCTTAAAGGTAAACAAACTTTAAACATTTTCAAATATATTCATGTTCATGTAACATCCATATGTTTGTGTGTATTTAAATATGTATGTATGTATGTGTGTGTGTGCCTTTAGATGTTTGCTTGTTATCTGAATATTAAGGGCAACATAATCGGAAAAACAGAAACCCCTGAGCAGAAACCTCATCAAAGTTGAGCCCCTGTCCCAATGTCCCGAACACCGCACAACAACAACAGCGGCTTAACATTAATCCCAACTTTTAACGATGCGTTTAACAGGAATGTTGGCACAGGCGGCAGCGACTATGGCAGCGGCAGGTGAAATACCAACACCGCTGCCGCCGTCCGTCAATCCAAAAAGCCCAACGCCGCAAGAACAGGGAAATTCTATGGTCACATAAAAGGCTAATAAAATTTTTAACAAATTCAAAGCCGTCATAAAAATGTCGAAAAAAAAAAAAGAGCTTTACATGAAAATTTAAAATCAAGTGCAATCAGCAGTGACGACAACAACAAAAGCAAATACAGCGACTGCATACAAAATACAAAAAAATATATATTAAAGCAAATAAAAAAACAAACTGACAAGCGAATAGGCAAAGAGCGGAGCACAAGTGCATATGTTAATATGCCTGCGTGTGTGTTATTGTCTGTGTGTGCGTGTGTGTCCGTGCGTGTGAGTGTGTGAAAAAGCCTCACGCTCAACGCTTTTTATTAATTCTGTTAAATATGCACACATAAAAAAAAAAGAAACAAGAATTTCAAACAAACTCTGGAGATAGGGGAGGGGGGCATAAAAGCAACGGCGCTGCTGCTGCGCTGCTTACGTGCAAGTCGCCGTTGCCGTCGCAGTCCATATTTCACTTTGCCCCCCCCCCCCCCCTCTGTCCAGCAGAAAACGGCACTCTGCCTGCTTGCCTGCGCCTCTGCTACCTGAAACTGAAATTTTCCCGCATTAGAATGCTCGCGTTACTTGTTGTTGTTGTTGTTGTTGTTGTTGTTGTCGTTGTTGTTGGTTGGTTGGTTGCACGCGGACGACGACGTCGACAGACAATCAGCGGGACTGGCGGATAGGCAGAGAAACACAGACGGACAGCACAGAAAGCAGCAGCGACAACAACCACAGAGACGAAAAAAAACACGCTGGCAAAAGGGCATGGAATGGGAGTTGATTTTATTTTTCTTCCTTTTTGGCTGCTGCTTCTTTGCGTTATGCTGTGTGTAGTATTATTTTTTTTGTTTACCTTATGCTTTCGTTTATCGACCCGTTTTTGGTTTTGTGTGTTTTTGTGTGCTACATATGCGTTTCTTTCGCTCTTTCGCTCGGTCTCTTATTCGTTCGTTTACTCGCGTGCGCCGCTCTCACAGCAACAGCAGCAGCATAATCGCAGCTTGCATGCTTATGTATCTTGTCTCTCTCTCTCTCTCGCCTCTTTCTTTTGCTTGCTAGCTCTTGTTGTTTTTTCATTTCACAAAAGGCACTAATAGGACGTTTGTTTTGCTGTTTGTCAATTATGTGTGTGTGTGTGTAAATAACATACATTTGTACATAAACGGCACTTTAATCTCTATCAGAAACCCTGTTTTTAATTAAATTGCCTTGCATTAACATACTTTTTTAACATTACATTACACTTTGGCCCTTAACATTTCAAATACAAGCGCCATGGCTTGACCAGTCCATAGCAAGCAGCTTCGGCGCGCTGTGCTGTTAGCGCGCTGCATGCCATTTTCGATTGTTTGGGAAATTTCACAGCTGTTGTGGCCATTGTGAACGCTCTTTACAGCGCGCTAGTGATGCGCGTTGCGCTCAACACTGTTAGCTAACAGCAAATAAAAAACAAGTCGAATGAAAAAAAAACCTAAACGAATTGTTATTGTGATTATTATGTTTGTGCTTGTGGTGGCCAGAAAAAGGCAGCGAACATGAATTAAAGTGCACATGAAATGTGTGCCACATAAATCTCATTTGCTGCACTTGTGGGGCAACGGCAACGGCAAGAACACGCGTCAGGGGTTGCCCCCATCAAATAACACACACAGCGTCCGCCTGCCAGAAGGTGTGGCTGTAGCGCATTCATATTTGTTGGTATTTGTTGGCTCTTAAATTGTTGTTTTATTTTTACTTTTTCTATCATTTCTCATGCATTTTCTTTTCGGTTTGTTGTGTTTTGCAGCGGCGTTGCCACCTCGCTAAGCTGCGCGGATTCCAGCACAGGCTCCAGTGAGGATGCATCCGAGCCCGGCTCACCGTACAGTGCGCACTCGCTATTGAGCGACGAGCAGCAGCTAAACAAAATGCCGCCACAAATACTCAGCGCTGCCGCAGGCAGCAGCAGCAACAACACTGCGTCAGCAACAGCAACTGCTGCACCAGCAGCAGCAGCTGCAACCACAGCAAATGCAATTAGAAGCAACAGCAACACTGCCAAAATCACAACCCCAGCAATAACAGCAACAGCAATCACACAACGCCACAACAGCAGCAGCAACAACAGCAACACGACGCCGCCTACGCTGCAATGGCCCTGGAACACGAGCCTCGGCAGCACCTCAACAGCTGTGCCTGCTGCAGCCAGCGCCGCAGTCGCCTCGAAGAAACGCGCTGCTGTCAACAGCAGCAGCAACTGCAGCAGCAGCAACAGCAGCAGCAACGATGCCAGCGGCTTGGCCTGCATCGCTGTAGCGCCCAAGAAGTTGCGCGCGGATCTGCAGAGCGGCAGCAACAACAGCGGCGACAAAAGACTGAAAGCAGCTGCCCTGGAGGAGTCGCAGACCAAGATCACGGGCTTCTTCAAGTCGCAAATGAAGGCGACGCCGGGCAAGCTGTCGGCAACGCCGTCGCCGCCTCCGCCACAAGCAACAGCCACGCCCAGCACGCTGACAATGAGCACGCCAGCAACAACAGCCTCGCTTAATAAATACTTTAACATACTCTCGCAGCTCAATGAGCAAAAGCAGCAGCAACAGCAGCAGCAGCAACAACAACAACAACAACAGCAGCAACAGTTGCAGCAGCAACAGTTGCAGCAGCAGCAACAACAACAACAGCAGCAACAGTTGCAGCCTAAGCTCGCAACAGCTGCTGCGGCTCCTGCCACATTGCCCGTGCCGGCGCTCAAGAAAATCGAACGCAGCAGCAAGCAGCCCGCCAAAATTGCCCAAGTGGCGCCCAATTTACGCAAGACGCCCAGCAGCAACAGTCACGCCCACAACACACATGCCGCTGCCCACTCGGGCACTGGCAAATCGCCCGCCAAAAAGCACGTGGCCATTGCCCCGCGCACGCCCGAAATGAAGCAGCAGCAACAACAGCAACAATTGCAGCTGCAGGCCTCCAAGACGCTGCTCGCAGCAACTGCCTATCGCTCGCCCCACAACAACAACAGCAATGCCAACAACAACAACAACAACGGCAACAGCAGCAACACGACGACAACAATTGCTGCCAAGCCCTGCCAGAAGCTGCAGCCCGCTGCCGTAGCGCCCACGGCCACGCCCACGCCCAGCCCCACGCTATATCAGCTGCCCGTGCAGCTGCCCAATTTGGTGCATCTGCCGCCGCAGCTAGCGGCCGCCGCCAACATAATGCAGCTGAACAATGTGGCCAAAGCGGCCGTTGCAGCCGCTGCCAGCAACAATGCGGCCGCAGCAGCTGCATCCGCGCAGGCGGCACAAGCGGCAGCCGCGCAATATTTCCTGAACGGAACCGTCTTCAAGCTGCAGCAGGTGACAACGGCAACCACGACGACGGCAACAACTGCCACAGCAGCAGCGACCAGTGCGGGCGGCGTCAATCCCTTCGGCCTGCTCAGCGCCAACGAGCTGCAGGAGCTGCTGCTCAAGCAACAGCAGCAGCAGCAACAACAGCAGCAACAGTTGCAGCTGCAGCAGGCGGCGGCAGTTAAGGCTGCAGCAGCTGCCACGCCCACAGCGAATGGTGCTGCCAACCTGCAGGAGCTGTTCCAGCAACAAATAGCTGCAGCGATTGCCGCACAGCAGCAGCAACAACAGCAGCAGCAGCAACATCAGCAGCAGCAATTTCAACGCTTGGGCGCCGCCGCCGCAGCGCAGCCCGTTTTTATGGCCACGCCTGCGGGCCTGCTGCTAAACGCGGCCACGCTGCCGGCCATGTTGGCGCAGGCTGCGGCAGCAATTGCTGCCAACAGTCAGCAGCAACAACAGAAAGTAGCTGCCGCTGTGGCCCTGCAGCAGCAGCAACAGCAGCAGCATCAACAACAACAACAGCAAGCGCTGCCTGCGCTGCAGCCCATACCCGCCTTGAGTTCCATATTTGAGCCTGCCTCAGAGCAGCAGCAACAGTTGCAGCTGCAGCAACAGCAGCTGGCGCAGCTGCTGCTCTCACATCAGCAGCAGCAACAACAGCAACACCAGCAGCAGCAGCAGCAACAACAACAACAACAACAACTTATCACTGCCACACAGCCTCCGCCGCTGACTGCTGCGAACAGCAGCAACACTGCCAGCAGCAACAGCAATGCCTCGAATACTTTAAGCAACAACAGCAACACTGCCCTGCTGCCGCAGCAGCAACAACAGCAGCAGCAGCAACAACAACAACAGCAACAACGTGCCATCATCAAGGGTCCGCCCCCGCTGGTAACTATCTCCACCGCCTCCTCCCTCAGCACAGGTGCTGCCAAGTCACGTGCACTGCCCGCCGCTTTGGCCAAGCCCTATCAGAAGCGAGCCCCGCCTACGCAGCAGCAGCAGCAACAACAACAGCAGCAGCCGCCACTTAGCAAAACCAAATATGCAGCCATTGCCACGCCCACAACGCCGCCTCCTTTGGTGCCGACCAGCACAGGAGGTGCTGTTGCCGCCGCCAACAAGGAGCTGCAGCAGTTGCGCAAAGGTGCCACGCCCGCAGCGACGACAACAACGCCCACGCCGCCGCTGGTAAGCATAGCGCCCGCCAAGCTGACGCCAACGCTCAGCTTGGCTAAGCAGCAGCAGCAACAGCTGCTGTCGCAACAGCAACAGTTGCCGCCAGCAGGGGTAGCAACAGTTGGCAAGATCTCAAGCACCGCTGATCTCTTTGATCTGGTCAAGAACTCAAATGGCGCCATCAGCATTGTGGGCAAGACTACAGCCACTGCCACGCCCATGTGCACAGCTACAGCCTCACCGCCCGCCCCCAGACTGTTGACGCCGCTGCCCTTCAGTTCGCCCAGCAGCAATAGCAATAGCAATAGCAACAGCAACTCGCAGCAATCGCATCGCGCCTCGCCCGCACTCTCCACACACTCGTCCAGCACACTGTCCGCCTTTGGCAAATCTCTGGTGGCCATCAAGTCGGAGCCCATGGAGGAGTCAGCCACGCCGCCGCCGCTGTCCAGCACGCCCAAGCCGCACAGCTTTGCCGGCCAGCTGCCGAACTCTCGACGCATGGAGACCCACAAGCATGAGCTGCTCGCCGAGTGCAGCGGCGGCGGCTCCAACTCCAACTGCAGCAGCAGCTACACCAGCAGCTCGGTGAGCAGCGCTGCGGATCTCTCGCTGGAGGCATCGACGCCCGCATCGCTCAGCTCGGCGCCATCGCCGGCGGCGAGCAGCAGCAGCAGCAACAGCTGTCAGACGCAACAGATCAGCTCGCCGGAAGGACATGCCAGTCAGCAGGATATGCTCAGCGAGCTGGTCACCTCGTGCAATTCCAGCGGCACCGAAGACTGCTCCCAGGCAGCCATATCGCCGCCAGAAGCCGCCGAAGTAGCAACAGTTGCTGCGACTGCCGTCACAACAGCAACTTGCGTCGGCAGCAGCAGCAGCAGCGGCAGCAGCAACTACGATGAGGAGGATGACAAATCTGTGGCCTCCTCCGAGACGGCGACGCACAAGCGAATGACGCCCGAATCCGGCATTGGCGGCAGCCTCAGCAACAGCGAGAGCAGCAACTCCATAGCGGATGCCATGTAAGTGACAGCAGTAGCAGCAGCAACAGCTCAATTTGACCAGAGCTCTAATAAGGTTTCATTTTTTCGTAATCGCAGCTCCTCCAAATCCGTTTGCCCGCCCGCCTCGGCCAGCAGCAACAGCTGCAACGCCTCCGACAGCAACTCGTTGGCCAGCAATGCACTCTCACCCGCCTCGCCCAGCAACAACAGCAACAGCAACGACGATTGCTCCGCCTCATCGACAGCCTGTCTGGCTGTGCCCAGCCCGAGCACCATGGTGGATATAACATTGGCTGAAAGCGCCAGCAAATTGATGCCCAAGTGCGCCATTTCGCCGATTCTGTCACAGCCCAAGACGATACGCTTCCCGGCCGGCGCAGGAGCGGGAGCCAAGGGAGCGAAGCGACATGATGGCGTCTGCTATTGGGACAAGTGCAACAAGAAGCATGAGAGCAACTCGAAACTCTTGGACCACATGCAGACGCATCATGTCAACACGCAGACAGGTCCCTTCGCCTGCCTTTGGGTGGGTTGTAAGGTGTACAATAAGGAGTCCTGCTCCCGTCGCTGGCTGGAGCGCCATGTGCTCTCGCACGGCGGCTCCAAGCAATTCAAGTGTATCGTCGAAGGCTGCGGTCTGCGCTTTGGCTCACAGGTAAGTAAAGAACCAAAATACCAATAATTATCAACGCCAGTTCGGCCTCTAACCCGGCTTTCTCTTATTGTATTCCCGTAGCTGGCACTGCAGAAGCACGTGAACAACCACTTCAATGCCACGGACAATGCCAAGGAGAGCACCAGCAAACGCACCTCCGATCCGCCGGTGCCCAAGCAGCTGCGCAAGAATGGCAAAAAGCTGCGATATCGCCGGCAGCCCTTCTCAGGTAAGTGTCGAAGAAGCGAAGAGGGCAACATTTCGATTCTATAGAAATATATGCAGAAAACTGGAAATCGTTCAAAGTAGCTTTCGGATCAGTTTAGGTTCGGCGATAGGTTTATATTTTTCAAAAATCGATTAATATTTGCGTGAAATAATTTTCGAAATTATCTAGCTATCGATTATTAATTTTCTATTCATTAAAGCTATCGATAATTGTATCTTATGATATGGTATAGCTATAGCTATCGATAACTATATTTGCAGTTTTATCGATAATTTACCTATATTTAAATATCGATAGCTTAGATAGATTTGGCAAAAAAAATTAAATTATCGATAAATATTTTGTTGGTATTAAATATATTAAATTATTTCGTGATAAATTTATCGTTCGATAAGTACATATAAATAATATTTACCGAAAGCTAAAGATATCTATAGATTATTCAGTTTCAGTTATATATTTCGTTTCAATCCAACCCAATGTACAAAATATCTAATATGATTTAAAGCGATATAAAAAAAGAATCGATCGTATTATCGACTATTAAGTAGGCAATTTTCTCACCTTAAACAAACTGTATAATCGACTGCTTTGATTGTTCTTTAACTATGAAAAGTATCGAATACGGATGATAAAGGTAAGGCGAAAATACTGATTTATCGATCTTTATATTGAGCCCTATCGATGGATAAAATACATGGAAAGAAATTGCTTCTCCTGAATCTATCTAATCATAACTTCAGCATCATTTAAATGCTATGTATATGGATATTTACACCAGATTGATTTCGATACGTTGCAATCGAATACATATTTTCTTTTAATTATGATTTGTTTGGACTAATTGAGGCGCAGGCGTCATTTTTGTACACTTGCGATAACAAAACACAATATATTCAAAATCGAAAAATGTTCAATAATTTTAATCGACACATATACGATTACGCTTTCCGTTTAAATGTGTTTGAAATTCGATTAGACATGATTTCTCTCTTTTGAATGCTTAAATATGTGTTGACATATTAATTATTAAATTATTTAATTTCATACTCTGTGTATTTTTTTATTTATCGATACATATGCCATTGAATATTGTTCAATATATAATTGTGCCCTTTTATTGACGCAGCGCGCATGTTCGACTTCTTCGACACGGGCATCATGGAGGGACTGCAGCATCGGCTGCGCCAGATCAGCACGTTGACCAACGGAGCGCAGGCCATCACGTTCCAGGGGCAGTGCCTGATGCGGCGGCGCAACAGTCGAGGCGGGAGCGAGTGCTTTGTGCGCTGGTCACCTCGTGAAATGTGAGTTTTAATAAATTCCAAGTGGGAAGATTAATATTTATATATATCCATCTCTGTATAGCATCTCGGATGAGTGGCTGCCGGAGTGTCCGAATCGGACGCGCCAGCACACCAAAGTGCTGCACATCAAGCACATGCGTCCGGCGGAGAAGACGCGCATCGACAGTCTGCTGAGCACTGCCTACAGATTGCGCTACGATGCGCAGCTCTTTGCGGATGATTACAACGTAAACGAGCAGCAGCTGCAGCTGCAGCAGCAGCAGATGGAGGAGGAGCTCAGCGGCAGTGATTGTGCCGAGACCGATGCTGATGAGGAGGAGGATGAGGAAGATGATGAAGATGACGACGACGATGATGAGGACGACGGCGTCTCGGGCACAATTAGCTCGAGCAGCGGCACCGTCTCCAGCTATCAGCAGGTGCTCAGCATAGCCAAGCTGCAAATGCAACAGCGACGCAAGCATCCGCGCAAGCCGCCCAAGGGGACAGCAGCAACAGCCACAGCGACGATAAAAGTGGAAGAGCTGGTGCCCACGGACGCGCTGGTGCCCATTTAGAAAGTATTTACAAACCCCACACACACGCCCCACACCCGCAAGGACAAACGAGTAAACAGTGACAAGTAGTTTATAGATTTTTTTATAAGGCCACCCAAACAAACCCAAAACTATCATAAACATGCACACATACACATGCATACTTTATCATAAGATCGTGTAACATACATATATATATATATATATATATATATATAAACATATGCCCGCTTGCAGTTTTTAGATAAATCCCACAAGATGACCATAGCTAATGTATATAGAAATCGCTTCAATATCAAACTAAAAAAAAAAAAAAGAGAAAACACGCGTGAACAAATTTTAGAGTTTTTGTGTAAACCTTTGTTTTTAATTAAATTTAAATTACATTTTATGTTGCTGAAGACAAACATAGATATATACATATATCTAGCCTATATACCGCATAAACTTAATTAGTTTTAAGCATAACATTTTTAACAACTTTATGTAAATTGTGAACTGCCTGAGAAAAGAGGAAGAGAGCGTAGGACACCGCCGCAGACAAGACTTGTTTAATCATATTTATCATCTTCATTATAGTTTTATGTGCTCTATGCTTAGGCTTTATGAACGTGTTTGATTCTTTTATTGTTTTTCCCTACTCTTAAACCCAACAAACATTTCATTGTATTCCAAAAACTTCCAAAACGAGAAAAAATAAGCAAACCCACAAACAACATTAACAACAACATGAATAAGACTTGAAGCATTTATCGCTATATAATTAAACTATAATTAAACGAATTCATGTACTCAATTCGAACAGCAATGCAAAACAGTTTTAAGTTCGTTTTAGCAAAACAGCCGCAAGCAAAAACAACATTAAGAAACAACAAAATATTAAGTAATAATATTTTAAACAATTTAATGTAGTCCAAATTTTGTATGTAATTGTCGTCTAGTTCGTTTTCCGAGTAACTTCTATGTAAATATTTAAAAGTAAATTAATAATTTGCGTAAGCATTACACGTAAACAATTTGAATTAGAAAACAAAAATAAAAAACCATTACAAGCTATTATTTTTTTTTGGTAAACATCTAATTTTGTTTATTTGTTTAACTAACCTTGTTTTGAATTAACTTATTGTTGGTTTGGTTTTTATATACGTACACATATTTGTTTGTTGATTTTAACACACAGTCACATATGTCACAAGGTCAAGGTCAATGTCAAGTTCAAGTCAAATCTAGCAGAGTTCGCCTTAAACAATAATTATTTAATTGGATTTGTAAGTGTTTAAAGTTTATAAACTTAACTTAAAGTAAGTTATGCAAATCAGAAAAATACTTATAAAAAGGAATACAAAAACCTATAAAGTACTCAACACTGCCAAAGCGAAATGAATACAACAACAGCAACAACAACAACAACAAACAGTTTAAGATCGACTGATAAATGTATAAATTAAAACTTAAAGATCATTTATATATACACATATATATATATATATATATAGGTCTGATTTCGCACAAAGCTTTTTCATATGTTGCAATAACAATAATAAGGCATATAGCAATTCCAAATAAGTATATTAACTATATATAAACAATATATGTGTGTGTTGTAGCCCTATACTCGAAGACTTAGTAATGCTTGGTTAGTTAGTACCCTTCTCACCCCGTAAGCCGCGTTAACCCGCCCATGTCTAATTCGAGTACTTAAATTAGTTATAAGCGTCTAGCTGCAAACTGTATACAAAAATCATATGCAAGCATATACCATATATCAAATATATATATATATATATATATAGAAAGATATAGATATATGTGTAGTTAACAAGCCTTCAAGTCCGGGCTGAATATTTATGGCATAATATTATGATACTTCCGTTCAACTAATATGTTTTTAATGGATGAGGCAAAAGTTGCATTTTGTAAATGTTGTAGGCTATATATATAAAGAAAAGAAATTGAAAGCAATACCTTTTAACAATCGCCTATATAAGGTTCGGAGTTCAAGCAAATATTTTTCGGATTGCCTAACATGAGATTCTTCGATATTTTGTACCGCAAAGAAAACGTAATGAGAGAAAATTCAAATTGAAAAAAATTTAAAGATATATATAAATATATATTTAAAGATATATAAAACTACCTCAGATTTTTGCAAAACAAAACAAAACAAAAAGTAAAAAATATAAAGAAAAAAGAAAATACAAAGTACATAGGAATTTTTCGAGACAAGTTTTCTAAAGAACCTTAATGATAGACACTATATTTAATATATGGTTAGCTGTCGTCAAATTCAGCCGAACAAGGGAACGTATACAAAGCAACAAAACAACAACAACAACAAAAACATTGAATATAAAGATAGACAAAAACAAATTAAGTACTCATAATACTTAGGTTAAAAAAAATCCAAGCAGCATATTTTGCATACTTTGCTAATATTATGTAAGCGCAATTCTTAGAATACTTAAGCTCCAGTTCTAGAACTTCCCACAACTGTTTTTGAACATTTCTCGATTTCCACACTGCCCGTAAATCATCGAAAGATTCCATTTAACTTCCAATTTGCGAAAACCTTTTTTCCAAAACCAAAAAGAAAACAACCTTTGCCTTCTTTATGCCATTTCGTTTTGTACATAGTTAATTATATATACATATATATATATATCATAAAGTAAATTACCAATAATGCAAGCGCTTTAATAAATTAAAAACAAAAATCAAGCATTACAAAATACTAATTAAAAATCAATTTAAAGTTAGCAAAGCAAATGAAAAACATACGTCTGTATCGTATTTCAGGACTTATGAATGATTTTAGAGCTCGCCAAGCAAACAAATTTGATTTTACATTCAGTTTCTGGCCCAGAGACCAGGCCAACTAATGTAATCAAAACAACATTCTATGAAAGAAGATATAGATATAGATATATATATATACCTATATATATATTATATAAACTCTACATATACACAACTTAGTATGTACAAGTGGAACAGACAGTAACAGAAACATGTAAACGCTGAGAAAAGAAAATATATAGAGGCAAGAAATATTGAACAAGTTTGCGTGTTATTTTAATTAGGTGTATCAAAAGTCGCTTGATGGTAAGTATCTCTAAGTATTTGTGCTTCCCAACAACATTCCCATCGTTGGGCATTCAAGGATTTACGGAATTTGGGCGAAATATGTTGCTTTACAACCTCCCCCTGCTGATTCCTAGTTGGCTCCTATATTTTTGGTTATGCCATACCATTAATATAGTCCTGGTGAACCTTAAGGTTGTTCCAGCACCCCTTTTACATCAACAGCACCTTAACAGCCGGCTTTGCAGCACCCGTTTCACTTCAACAGCACCTTAACAGACCGCTTTACAGCACACCTTTTACACAAACAGCAGCCTAACAGCTGGATTTGCAGCATCCCTTTAACATGCGTTGCAGCTGCTACTTAACAGTCGTCTGTTATGCATTTTAGCAGCAAGCTAACATTTATGCCCCTTGCGCGTATGCAATGAAATTTTTCATTCGATTTTATGTCGACCTGCTGCCATTTCTGTTCGCCTGGTACTTCAGCCAAATTTTCATATAAATCTCGTCCGGCAGCCGGCACCAACGACGCCCCTTGAGGGTATGCAATAAAATTTTTAGTCCGCTAATTATTTGTCGACCTGCTTGCCATTTCTGTTCGCCTGGTATTTCAGCTGAATTTTTACAAAAATATCGTAACCCAGCGGTTAGTCATTTTGCGGCCGTTAAGATTTGAAAATTGATTGCACACTGTGAACAAAACACTGGATATCTCGGTAACTACAAAGACGATTTGAATGTCCTTTGCCCAGTTGGTAGTCCTGGTCTTTACGTTTTATTTGAACAAGGACTTGCCGGGATACGGCCGAGCGATAGCTTATTTTCTTAACAAAAAGATGTCCTTATATCTTGCCGCCTTGAAGGATTTTCGTCCTTATTATTGAATACTCTGAATGGCCACGACAAGGACTGTCTGTTGGCCAAAGGACATCAGGATGGTCATTGAAATGGCCAAGTTATGGCCAAATATCTGTTACATGCAATAGTGCATCCTTTTGGCCGAGATATGGCTATTTTTCCGAAAGGGACATTTTGTTTTTAGCCATAGCTCGGCCATATCCTTGCGGATTTTCAAAGGATAACCTGCGTTGGGCTCGTAAGGACCAGCCGCATCGATCTGCATCAAAAAATGAGGGGGTCATCTAAGAATCCAGTACTTGTCGAAATTTCAGTCGCGGGCGACACGAAAACGGGCCAAAAACACAAAAACCTTGATATCTTGGAAACTACAAGGACGATTTTGATGTCCTTTGGCCAGATGATAGCTCTGGCCCATACAATTCATTTGACACGGGAATCGCCAGGAAACGCAAGGATACGGCCGAAATATGGGCTATTTTTAGTAACGAAAATTGACATTTTTGCTCCGCCATCTGAAGGACTTTCGCCTTTTTTTTTGCTAATCCTTAAATGGGAGCACAAGGACTATCTACTGGCCAAAGGACATCCCGATAGTCCTTAAAATGGCCGAGTTAGCCCGAATTTTTCCGATTTTCGGCACTTTTGCGACTAACCCCTAGGAAAATTTGTAGCGACATTTTTGTTCGAATCCTGGAAATTCTTGAATGCCAATCGATAGTTCTGCTGCCCACGAGTTCAAAACGGCATATCCTTTCGAAATCCTGCAGGATTTAACCGAGTTATAGCTAAAAACAAAATGTCCCTTTCGGAAAAATAGCCATAACTCGGCCAAAACCTGACGTATCCTGACGAATTATGTGTCAAATAATGCGTATTGTCCAGGACCGCCAAGAGGCTAAAGAACATTCAAATCGTCCTGGTAGTTTTCGAGTTATTCAGGATTTTCATCCTTAAATGTCCTTTTGTGGGGGTGGGGAAGGGAGGGGGGGGGGGGTAAGGAAAGCGGCATGGTGTACACATCCTTTTGCAAAATCTGTGAAAAATGTTCTAAATACACAAAATACAAAAGAGCGTTGTTTTTGGAAATTAGAAATTACAATTTATTTCATACAATGTCTGTTGTTTGTTGTTGTTTTCGAATACACAGTTACAGTAGTTGCTCTAAAACCCTTCATCGATCGTACATTTATATATATATTAATATATATAGGTGTAAGTGTGTGTGTGTGTGGATGTACAGTTATTGGAGAATGCAAATAACAATAAAAATTCGTAACAATTTGCCCGCAGCAACAACAAATACGCGGCCTTATCGAACCGCAAACTCGGCCGCAACCTCCTCCCCCAGGGCAAAGCGAACGCAACACGGGCGCTGCAACTTTGTGGGGCGGGTGAGAGGTGGGCGGTGCGCGGTCTTACAAAGCTTTATATACAAATTATTTGCGCGTCTGCTTCTCGCTCTGCTTGTTGTTGTTGTTCTCTTTTTGTGCATTTGTTTTTGTTGTTGTTGGTTGTTGCCTATGGTCTGCGGTGGAGCTGCTGTGTAGGTGTAGGTGTGTGTGCGCGTGTTTGTGTGTGTGTGGGGGTTAGCTTCGTGGGCGTCCTCCTGCACGGGTTGGTCACCTCCGCGTTCTCAGCATCACGAATGCATCGGCGGCCAACGGGCAGGGACGCTCTTGCCACGCCCACCGGCCAGCACACACAACTCTCCAGCTGCCGCTCGTTGCAATTGTTGTTGTTGTTCTTATTGTTAACAATATACAAATTGTTGTTGTTATTTGCTAGTATACAAATCGAGTTGTTGTTGTTTGAGGTTTTTGCATAACTTCTAATTTGTTGGGATTTTACAATTTTTTTGTTGAATTTTTGAACGTTGTTTTTGTTGTTGTTGTCAACGTTTTCGTTTTTTTGTTTTTGTTTTGCTTGCACGACTTTTGTTGTTGTTGTTGTTTACAATTTTGCTACTACAATTTCATGTTAATATTTTATACATAATATATATTTTATATATATAATATTTTTTTCTTTACTATACAATAACAGCGGAAAAATTGCGTGTGTGTGAGTTATCATTTACCATTTTTTATCATGCTCTTGATTTGTATTGTTTTTATTTTTCTTGCATTTGTTTATAACAACTTTTTCATGTTAATATGTATAATTGTTTATCATTCTCGTTATAATATATATGTATATATATATATATATATTGTGTATATATATTATGTATATCAATACCGTAATTGTTTTTTGTTTTTGTATTTTGTATTACAATTTTTTATGTATTTTCTTATCACAAAAAAATCATAATTATATATATATATAATTTATTATTATTAATTTTTAATATATTATTCTTAGAATTGAACAATAATTAAAAATAAACATAGGACTTAGTTACATTTTGTATGCGTGTGTGTGTGTGTTGGTGTGTGTGTGTGTGTTTATGATTGTATGTAGTTGGTTTTTGTTGTTGTTTGCAGTTGTTGAAGTATTGCCAAGTAATTATTTGTGTCTTTTTCCCCGCCAACAACTTTGCCTTTTGCACTGACGAACGCAGCGCACAGCGAGGTGGCAACGCCAGATGGCGACGCCAGTGTTGCCCTACGCAGCAAGTGCAGCGCAATTGTTGGTTCGATTATGCTTTGATTTATTTGTTGTTGTTTGGCCCTTTTCGCTAAATTTGTTGTATGCAAATTTACAATTGTTGTTGTTGTTGTTGTTGATTTTCTTTACAGAGTTTGTTAACGAATTTTACATATACACTAAACATTATTTAATAATAATAATGGAAAAAACAAATAACAAAGAGCACACGTTTTGTGGAGCGCAAAAAAATAAAATAAAGATATAGAAAGTAAGAGACAAATTTGATATTTGATTACAACTTTATGAACTTATGAACTGCAAAATTGATTTGAACGGAAAATATAAAACTAAACTAAACAGTGGGCCAGCAATTTAGGCGAATGTGCAAAGTAAATGTTCAAATTAAATAACAAGAAATAATAAATGGTTGTTGTTGTAGCATTTCTTTTTTAGTTGTTGTTGTTGTTGTACACACTAATGCGCGGCAATATGGCAACACTGGCGCCCAACTCATCAATTGCAGTTATTTGTTATTGTTTTGTTTTGTTTTTTTTTTTGCTATATACAAACGGCCACCAGAGTTGCCACCAAAACGCGTTTTGAATTTGTTGTTATTGTTGGATGGTTTTCAATTTGATACACTTTTTACTTGCAGTTGTTGTTTTTCTTGTTGTTGTTGTTGTTGTTTTTGTTGTAGTTGATGTTGTTGATTGCTGGGCTGTTTGTCTACTTGTTGTGTGTGTGTTGAATTGATTGATTTATTTCGTGTACAGGTAAATGGCCACAATCAAGCCGTAGAGACCCAACACCTCAGCGAAGATGAGAATCAGAATCATGCCGACAAACAGACGTGGCTGCTGTGCTGTGCCACGCACACCGGCATCGCCCACAATGCCGATCGCAAAACCGGCTGCCAGGCCCGAGAAGCCCACAGACAAACCGGCGCCCAAGTGAATGAAACCCCTGGATAGAACAGATGGAAACATGAGTTTAAGGATACAAATTCAGATGTATATGTATTTAGTTACTAACTTGTATAGGGTGTAATTGGCCGGCAAGTCCAGTTGGCCGGCAATCAGCACAGCGACGACCAGACCGTAAATGGCAATGATACCCGCCATGACCACAGGAATGATGGATTTCATGATCAGTTCAGGACGCATCACTGACATGGCAGCAATACCGGTACCAGACTTGGCAGTGCCATAAGCGGCGCCGAGTGCTATGGAGAGTTAAGAGAAACATTTCGTTAAATTAGTGCTTCAACTAAATAAATATACAATTTTATAATTTTTGTTCCTTCCACATCAAAAACACCCTGTATTCTGCCAGCTTAGAGCATTCTTTTTTATAGCTATACTTCGTTAGGGTCGCACTGACTGGAAAGCCTTGACTGATTGGGCTAGCATACACGTTACATAATAATTAATGGGTTAACACTGACTGGAACGCCTTAAGCCTTCTTTTTTCTTTTTGTCTAATTGGCCTGCAATGCACGTTATGTCATCGATCATACTTTCAAATAGCTCCTACTCCGAAAATCATGTTAGCGTAAAGCAAAATTCTGTAAAATAACGTAACATTTTGCGGTCACATGACCCATACTTAACGAAAAACTCACACATACATATAACTACTCAACAGAGTCAGAGTTGTCGTTTGAGTGCTTTATTTTTTGTGCACTCTCTCGTATTTGCTGTTGCTCTCATTACGATATTCATTTGATAAGGTCGAGTAAATGTGAAGAAGCCAAAGTGCTAGAGTTGCCAAATAGCTGACTGATGAATGTTATATACGTATGTGTATGTACATACGTATGTATGCGTGCACGCGCATTGAATATTGAAATATAAAACCAGTTTCATATGACGGCCAATGGTATTTGTTAAAAAAAACATTTTGTTTGCGTTTGTGTGTGCCTGTGAAGTGCAAATAAATCGAATTAAAACACGCATACAGTTGTGTATATAAAATGCTGGTAGGCTAAAAAAAATAACAACTGCACATCTGTATGTACAAAACGTAAGTATGAGTGTGTGTGCGACGTTTCAGAGTTAACGCTAATGGCATTTGCCGCTACGACAGCTGAGCGTAAATGAGTGAGTGAGAGCGAGCAACGGAGCTACAGTCGCTGCCTGCGCTAATTGGCACTGTCATGTGACATTTTGATGATAATTAACTGTATTTTCCAGTCAAATTGATATTCTATCGGTGCAAATTAAATGAAGGGCTCGCTAAAATACTTATTTACACAAATAAAAAAATTGACTAGCGTACCGCACAAATTCGTGCAAGTTATTGAAATATAATTATTAACTTATTTAAAAAAAAATTGTTTTAGCTCATAACTTTTAGCTATGGTTAATTAAAAAAGCCACAAAACTGCACACTTTACTCGTGTACATACGTCATAGAGCGTCATAAAAACAGGAATATACTGGTTTTTGTTTCTATACCTTTCTAGCTAATGAGAAATACATGCATATGTGTATCCACATTTGTCGCTATCAAATGCTGAGAAACAGACCTAACACACATACAAGACTTTTGTTTGTCGTTGCTTTTCTAATCGAATACAAATTTCAAACAATCATCGTCTCGGGGACTTCCAAATGCTCATTAAACATGTAGATATGTATGTATATGGCCCAGCAACAGGCAAACACATTTACATTCAATTGCAATTAATCAACAAAAATTCATTGAGAATATATTCTGTGGGCCATAGACAAAGGCAAACATTCAAAGTAAAGCATTTAAGAGATGAAAATTGGCTGATCAGTCTATTGTTTTTACTACGGAGCGGACAAGTTCTAAACAGGTTAAAGGGTTTTACTGGTTTTTATTTAAAAGCGCTAAATACTGCGAGAACAGGTGCATTATTTATAGCCGTCAGATAATAAAAATAATTTATGCGTAAACATGTCACAATTTTTATTTGCTTGCGCTCGGCCAAAGTTTACATTACATTTACATGGTATAAACAACAGCTGAGCGTTACATGGCACAATATTTTGAACATTGACTGTAAAGGACTGCCAGTGTGTACACACAAATCAATAATATAAATATATCTAAGCGCGCGCCAAGTCTTCAATTTGACTTGCATTTAAATGCGCACCATTTGCATTTAATAACAATTAAATTTATAAATGTGGCATTGACTTGGGTTTTTTTCTTTCTTCTCGATATTTAACTGCTCTCAACGCGACAGACGCATCGCAGACATTGGCGTGGGCGCCTTGTGCACAATACACAAACCGCTAGAGAAGAGGAAGCGGACCGAGCATAGAAACAAAAACAAACAACCAGCACATTTTTAGATAAATATAAATGTGAGGAATATGTGAAAGTAGCAAGCGAAATGAATAAAGATATGTGTGTATATTACCAATACATACACATGCCATGTTTATACAATGTGTGTATGTGTGTGTGTGTACAGCAACAAATTGAAGCGTCACAGTTGAGTGCGCGCACAAAAGAACCAAGATAGCGTGTGAGCGAGAGATAAAGAGAGCGAGAGAAGCGCACAACAGAAGAAACAGCAGCAGCTTATCAAACATTGCTCAATGCGAGAAGATGCTCGATGCCGACGCTGCTGCTGCTGCTGCTTTTGTTGTTGCTTTAGACAAGTGAAAAAGTCAAAGGCATTGGCATGCACAATTCACAGAAAACAACAATAAGTAAAAGAAAAAAATATCGAATTGTACATTGTTTTTCGAGTAACTTAATTGTTGAGACATTTTTGCTTTGGCTTCTGCTTGTTGTTTCTCATAATCTCTGCTACACACACACGCACACACATACACACAGCCACACTGACAGATTGCAAATTTGTGATTACAAATTGAGCGAATGCTTTGTGCGTAATCTTCATTTGATTAGATAATTTGTCAGTACAGGATGTGCGCGATGAACGTTGTTGCGCTCGTATATATTTGTATAATCATATTAATTAGAAGTTATTGTTAATTAATTATAGTGCAGCACACAACACATGCACACTAAGGGCCTTTTGCTTGCCACGTTTTATACTCTCACACTCTCTCTTGCTCACTCAGATAAAACAGGGTCGTTATTGCGCTCAAAACTCAAGCAGCTGCTTCTCTGAAGCCTATGGAATTTTTTGATTTTTTTTTGCAAGTTTTTCAAGCTTTGAAAAATAAACAAAAATGTAGCACGTGACATTAACATACAACTTTTACATAATTAACATACATACTTGGGCACATGTGTGTGTACACTTTACTATCATTCTATATGTAAATGTATCTACTACTATTTCTATACTGAGTTTGCGCAGGCAAGTACCAGTATGTTGGTGTATGTGTGCATGTTTGTGTGTGTGAGTACATATGTCAGATGTCAACCGCTTTGTGTGCGTGTGAAGGATTTTCTGAAATCATTAATAACGAGCACAAAAAAACATCGGGCACTGATAAAAGCTCAAAGCAACGCCCATTGTGCGATATTGACAGCCAATGACTCAGTATCCATCACAGCTTTTGAGCGGTGTCAGTTAACTGCAACATGGAAACAAGTTGGTTTGAGTGCTGCTTAAACTCGCTCCCTCTCTTATGTTTGCGTGTTCATTTGATCGTGAGAGCACGCCAATAGCGTTGCCAGATATTGTAAGCCGCATGTTTTTACATGCAAATGCTGACAGTAGCTGCTCTTTATGATTTTTAATGCATAAATTTTGTACTTGGCTGCGGCTTAAAATGAATTATGCTGTTGACTTAAATTACATAAGCACTGCGATATCATTGTTGCCATGTCAAGAGCGCTATCTACAAATTTTGATACAGCACTACGCTAATAAGCAAGGTAAATATTTAAGCCGAGCAAACTTTGCTCTTGGTTAACTTTTTTTTTTTTGAGTAGGGTGTCGGATTGAAATCACAAGACTGAAATTGATGCATGACATAATAATTATGTCATTGATTTGTGTTTATTTATCGAAAAACTATTAAAAATATTTTAGAGCCCTTCAATTTGGTGTATGAAGAAGTAGACCTTTTCGTGCATAAACATTTAGCATTGTGCTACTTTATCCGCAGCGCGTGCTTCTTTTTAATTCTAGGTGTATGATTTCTTTGCCTTACGACAATGCAAGGCGGGTCTTATCTTATCACAGACAAGTTATTGGTAAATAAGCCCGGACCACTTATCAGCTAAGGTAATATAAAACAAAAAAAAAAAAAAAAAAAAAGATGTATGGTTTCTGATAAGCTATACAGAAAAGAAACCCAGGCATGTGATGCCTCTTGGATGTGTGTTATGGTCGTCGAGTCGATTGATCATGCAAGGGCTGATGAGGTTTAAAGGAAAATAAAAAGTGGCATGTGATTACGCTTATTATTATGATTTCTATTGTGTTACAAAAACCAACAAAGCAACGCTCAATCATGTGTTTGCTCAGCTAAGCATGAGTTTGATGGGAAATCAAATTTTGGCAACCTATTTATGTCATGTTTTTATGATAAATTTTACAACAGAAATACACGTGATGGAAAAAATGCACTTGATGTGTCATATTAACTGCGCTATCGTACATATACACATATATAATTAACATGTATTGCCTTTTCCTGTTCGAATTTGTTGTGGAAGCCACATGCATGCAGTTTCCTGCGTATTCTACATTCATCAAAAGATAAGCCAAGAAAAAATAAAATACTTCAGTATGGCAACACCAAAAAGTTGGTCTTGTGACTGTGTGAAAAGGTAAGCGCGAGTTTCGCGTCATAAACTTCACAGAAAAACCGTAACTCTGCTCTCACACTCGCACACATACAATAGGAAACGATGACAATGCTTGGTACAAGAGCGTGCGCAACTCTCTCTCTCTCTCACACACTCTCTTTCCTTTATCTGCCGCTCACTTGCTGCTGTATGTGTATGAGTAATGCCGTTTTTAGCACGTTGAAAAAAAGGCAGCGAATTTCTAATTTCGATGCTGCCATTTTTGTGTTTGCAATAAAGCAATTAAATGCGCATATTATCCATACAAAAATGAAATATAATTGAATATTCTTTATATAATAAGCGTGTATGCTATTAACTATTCTGCCTGAAACATGGAAACGTTTTTGCTAGTCACGCGCATTTCGAACGGACTCAAACTCAAACACAAACACATGCACGATTACGCTGTGTGTGACTTGACTGTGAGCGTATTGAATTTTTGTACACTTGCCGCCGCCTGCCGCCTACAAAAGCGCCTACATACATACAGACATGGGTACTTTTTTTTTTGCTGACTAGATGTTCTTCTTCTTCTAGCATTTACGCCACAAAATGTTCGATTTTTCTACGCATGCAGCGCTGCGTGTCCCTTTTGTATACGAATTATGAAGTTTGCGGAAAGATTTTTTCTTTTTGGTTTCGTTATTCGAAAGACTTACCTGAGAAGATAATGGCGGACGCAGCGCCCATAACACCGAAGAAGGGGCCATAGATGGGGTTGTCGTTGCTCGCACTTGACATTTTGCTTTGTTTTTTGTTGTGTGTTTGGGCTACAAGATGAAAATTGAAATTTGAATTTGCTTTTGTTGTTTTCTTTTCGCTTATTGCACTTTGATTTCGTATGTTATGTTATATATCGGCGTGTTTTACGTTGCTTTGCAAGTTGAAATAAAGTATTTTTATTACATATACAATATATGTGTATATATGTATGTACAAAAAATTTTCTTGCGCTGCTTTTCGAACCACAATGCTGCTACGACAACGTACGATTTGTGAGTGAACGTGTTGTGAGAGACCAAGAGTAAAACACTCGCCGCTCGTCTCACAATTATTGAATTTTATCTCGAGTTTTTGAGTGCGTCGCTGAGAGCTCTTATGTATGTGTGTTCGAAGTCATGTGCCTATGTGTGCGTGCGTATGAGCGCATGACGGAATGAGCTTAAACAAAAAAGTCCAATTGGCAATGACAACGCGCTGGAAAATTACGCACACACACAGAGTCACATGCACACTCACATGAGTTATTTAAAACTTCATTTTCGAACACCATTGGCAATATTTGCGCGTTTTTTCGTGTCTAAATTTCTTTTTATATTGACTCAAATTTGCAGAAATTTTTACGCTCACCGCGCATACTCTCACATACACATTTATGGGTCGTTCATTGCCATTGGTGTGCCCGCATCTGTGTGTGTATGTGTGAATGTCGTGGCAGAAAATACTATTGTACAAAATTTTTGGTACAAATTTTGCCTGTAGGTTTGCCATTTTCTGTTTGAAATTCATCTTTATTATGTTTGCAACTTGACGCAGCAGCATTGTTGTATATTATTACATGGTTAAATCTTTTTCGATTGCTCCTCATATGACTACTGTTTTTTCTTCACTCACGTGATTAGAAATCTAATTTAAAGCAACTCGCTTCTGTGGCTGGCCTTTCGGGTTTATTGCTGGCTGCTGCTGCTGGGCGACTAAAGCACGCTCTGCTTTTTGATACGGCACTGAACTCCTACGGTGCGTTTTCGTTTTCTTTTATAAACTTTAGTCACGGGGGCGGATTGTCGGCAGTGCTGCTATTTGGTTTCTTATCGATACTCGTGTTTAGCGGTGTTATGCAACACTGATCCAGTGACCGACCTGGCAGAGGTGTCTTTGGTATTTTAGGAGCTTAACAAAAAGTGCAATTTTGTTTGGTATTTGTTTTGGATTTGGCTTAATAACATTTTGGGATTGTCGAGTAAAGTTAGTATTTTTCTAAAGCTTTTGATAACAGAGTGTTCATATTTGTAAGCAACATGCGTGGATCCTCCGCCAGACCAGCGCCAACCATCGCATTGGCAAACAATTGCTTAGTGATCAGCTGGGCCAACTCCGGTTCGCTTACACGCAATGAATGCAGCTTCTTTATGATAGGATGTCTGCAATAAGAGAGCCATTAAGAGGATTATCGTTAGATGAAATACACTTCTATACTCACTTTGGATTGATTTCCAGCTCCGGCTGCAATAGAGCAAAACGATTCTCCTCTGGCAGCTGATGGCTTTGGGTGCGTATAAAATGTCGTGCAGCGGCCATTTCCTCGACGGTGATAACACATGGATGCGTGTCCAGTCGAGAAGTAGCCTTCACTTTGGCTACCTGACCCTTGAGCTGATCCTGCAGCCAGGGTATGAGGCTATCTAGCTCGGAGCGCATCAAGCTGCCTTCGCCTAAATCTTCTAGAGCAGCGGGATCTTTTGACTGATTGCGCATCTCCTTCTCCACAGAGACTAGCTTCTTGTCCTTGAACTGTCCCAGCTGCATCAGTACCAACTCATCGTAGGGCTCATAGCAGAAGAGCACAAGCTCGTTGCGCTTCTTAAGACTCTCATAGTAGGGTGAGGATTCGGCAAGCACGCGATTTGGCGCTGCCAGATAGTATATATCCTTTTGATCCGCGCTAACCGATGTGTAGTAGTCCTCCAGGGAAATGCGCCCAGTTTCCGATTTCGATGATTCAAAGCGCAATAGCTTGGCAATTTCCTCCTTCTCAGCGTGGTCAGTGGACGTGACAATGCCCTCCTTTAGAAACAGTCCATAGTCGCGATAGAATGCGTCATATTCTTCTGGCTGCTTCTTGGCACGCTCCTGCAGGAAGCGTACGACACGACTAGAGATTACGCTAGACAGTTTGCGTATAAGGCTACTGTTCTGCAGCAGTTCACGACTCAAGTTTAAGGGTATGTCCTCAGAGTCGACAACGCCTTTGATAAAGCGCAGCCACTTGGGTAGCAAATGCTCCGTTTTGGACTGGATCAGCACCTTACGCGTATAGAGAGCGACGCCGGTACTGCCATCACGAGACATCTCGAAGAGGCCAGGCTTGCCCTCCGGAAAATATAGCAGCGCATGTATGCTCAGTGGCACATCGGCGTTATAGTGTAGCGAGAAGCGGGGGGCATCGAAACTATTGCTAATAAAGCGATAAAAGTCCTGATGCTGCTCCTTGCTAATGCTTTGGGGATCCATCAGCCAAAGGGGCTTAATCTCATTCGCCTGCTTGCCGTTCAGCAGAATGGGTGAGCCCACGAAGTTGCTGTACTTCTTGATAACGGCGCGTATCCGATCCTCGTCGGCATATTCGCGGCAGTCGGTCTTCAAATGAAGCACAATCTTGGTGCCGTGCTCTACATCGTTCACTTCCTCGATAGTATAGGTACCACTGCCATCTGTAGCCCAGCGTAGTCCAGGTGCATTGGGTGTGGCAGCACGCGTGTAGACCTCAACACGCTGGGCCACAATAAATGCCGAGTAGAAACCCACACCGAATTGGCCAATTATATTGGATGTAGCCTGTGCCGCCTGCTGCTCCTGCTTGAGCTGCTCCAGAAACTGTTTGGAGCCGCTGCGCGCAATAGTACCAAGATTGCTGACCAGCTCCTCGCGTGTCATACCAATGCCTGTATCCTGGATGATCAGCTGCATCTGTGGCTTGTCTGTGGTGATGCGTATCTCCAGTGGTCGATCCTTGGCCGCCAGTTCCGATTCAGCTGTTGTTCTTAGCGCCGAATAGCGAAACTTTTCCAAGGCATCGCTTGCATTCGAGATCAGCTCGCGCACAAACACCTCATGATCCGAGTACAAGGAGCGTGCGACAATGTCCAGCAGTTGTCGTGTCTCCGCTTGAAACTCGTGCTTGTCCACGGCCGGCGCTTCATTCGCAACTGTGGCGAATCGACGTTGCGGCAAGCCTGCATAGCATTTACCCATAAGCAACTACTCTTCAAATTTGATGCAAATCCATACCTGCCGAGGGCACCTGATGTAAATACGGCGTACTCAATGTAAAGGTCGCTGCTCGATTCGCTTGCCGGCACAGCCGGGTCAACTGACGGGCCTTGAGTAGCACACCAAAAGCACGCAGGGTCATCTTGTGTTGGAATTAATGCTTCAATCAAATATTCTGATAAAAAAAAATAAATATAATTGATTTTGTCAGTTCAAACAAAAGTTGAAATATAAGTGTTATTTAACTCTCTGAGCGCACATGTGTTATGATTTTCGATAAGCTGTCATCGATTTGTTTCTCGTAGTTAACAGCACTGGTATCGATTGCGAGTAGCTTTTAAGTTTAAAAAAACTTTTTAGCACTGTTAATTTATGTTATAATAAATGTTGGAATACAATGTTTATTTTATTTATTTCTTCAGGCTAGTCAAATAATTCTATTTTGATGATTTAATTCAATAGTATACCTGTGAAAAAAAGGTGTAAGCTTGATTAGGAGTATAATCAAAATTCTATTACTTTGGGAAAGTCCAGAACTTCTCAAAATGCTCTTGATTGCCATCTTATCACCATTATAATCACTTGATAATGAACAAATAACATTTGACCCGACTGCAAACCGATGGCTTCATACATAATTTCTTATCACATATTAGAATTTCGCTTATACTTTGCCTATTTTAGCATCGTGCTATTAGTTCGTAATCTCAGTTTGCTAAAAGCGGGACGTCGAATAGAAACAAGCATTTTTAATCGCTTCATTTGACATTGAAATGCATCTTTATTTGCGCGCGGTGTTCGTTACCATCTTAATGTTATTTCTAGGCGTTGCATTTATTTCTGCTTCTGAAGATAACTGGAATGACGAGGTGTGTGGGTAGAATGTTTGTTTTTTGTGATATTAATTGTGACTATCATCTTTTTAACCTAGTCACGAGTGGAAAAAGAATGTGCGCCGTACTGCTTAAAAGTATTTCTATGGAACACTGTGAATATGAATCAAAAAATTGAAGCCTGCGATAAAAAGAATGTGCAGATGGCGGCTCTGCAAAGCCAGTTAGCTGTTTCAAAAATCAAGGAAACCATGTATGAAAAAACAATTAAGGAAAAATTTGCTCAGTGCAAAAATGAAGAGCAACTTTATGCAGATGTATCGTCAATAAAAATCAAAATAGATAATATCGCAGCTCAAACGCGAAACGAAACTAATCTCTTGGAAATATTAAAACAACTAGAAGATTACAGAGTCACAATAGAGATGAAGAACGAACAAATAAGATCTTTAGAAACAAAATTGCAAATCAACGAGTATTTATTGGAGAACTGTAAGACAAATTTTACATCAAGTCCCGCAGCTCTTATGATAATGGATAGCAAACGAGAAACAGGAGTTAAGGTTTTCGAAACAAGCTGCTTACAAGTTGGAAACTCATCAGATATTTGGGAAATCCAGGTTCCGGGAATTGAACCTTTTCGCGTGCCCTGCGACGGAACAATCGCTGGACCAGGCTGGATGGTGATTCAGCGACGTGTGGACAAAACTGTGGACTTCAATCGAGGCTGGGCTGAATATAGGTCTGGTTTTGGAGATCTTGATGGCAACTTTTTTATAGGCTTGGAAAAAATCTATCGCATGACAAATTCACAGCCGCATGAGCTGTATATATATTTGCAAAATTTTGAAGATGAAATTCGCTTTGCGCGCTATGATAATTTTAGTATAGCTAGCGAAGACGATGCATACCAACTAAAAGTTTTGGGTAAATATTCCGGGGATGCTGGCGATGCCTTGATGTTGACTAGAAACATGAAATTTACCACATTTGATCGGGATAATGACAAACGCGACTTCGATAACTGTGCAATAGAGCGCCACAGTGGATGGTGGTACAGTCAGTGCGCACGATCGTAAGTAGTTAAAAAAACAACCTTAATGAAATTGATAAAAAATTAAAGTGTACTTATTTTTCATGTGAACATATTCAGAAATCTGAACGGCCGATATTTTGAAAGAGAGTTGGACAAATGGGATGGCATTTGGTGGTGGAATTGGCAAGAAACGCGCACTCTCAAGTCAGTGCAAATGCTGATTAGACCAACGATCAATTCGACGGAAACGAATTGAACCAGCATTAAGCAGATATTTGATTGTTAAAATAGATTAACAAAAAATGTACATTTAATCAATAGTGTAAATATTATATTAAAATCTACAGATAATTTTTTAATACTTTACTTTTTTTAAATACGGTACTTTTTTTTTTAAATATTTCGCCAATAAGTAAAATGTTGCGATATATCGATTGCTTTTTCTTAATGCAATTAGCGCAGTACGATATCGATATAAATATATCGCTGAATTTTGCGCACAGCATTTGTTAATTTCTAATTGCAACCCTGCTTCTGGAAGCGCGTCGTCTTCGCGCTGTAGTTGTATTTATTGTTGAGTTTTTTTTAATTTTTAACTACTATAAGTGAGTGTGCGCGCTGTATTAGTTTATAGAATGTTCTATTCGTGTTGCCTTTGGATTTAAATACGCCCAGAATGACGTCCATTGATAATGTACGTGTGCTGCTGCAGTCTCTGCCAGCAGCATCGCCTGCCGTCGGCAACAGCAACAACAATCCACAGCAAAATGAGTCGACGCCGGCTAAACTTGGCGCTGCTGCAACACCATTGCGCGCGAGAAATGCACAGCAGCAACAACAACAGCAGCAACAGCAACAGCAGCAGCAGCAGCAGCAGTTACAAGCACAACCCCAATTTTTTTATGGCACACCGGAAAAATCAACAACTGGGGTCAATGTTGGTGGCAAGCAGCTCAGGGCGCCGGAGGAATTCTGGCGTGATCTGCACCAGTTTCATGAGCGGCGCGGGTAGGACCTTGGCATGTCTATCATAGCATTGATTTACTTATTGATTTACCTTTTACTTTTCAACAGCACTCCGCTGACGCAGGCAGCCAAGATAAGTGGTCAGCATGTAGACTTATACCGGCTGTACCAGGAGGTCACGGAGCGCGGTGGCTTCAACAAAGTGAACATGCGCGATGAATGGGACGAGGTGTACAGCGCGCTGGACACGCTGCGGGATCGTTGCGTTAATGGCACCGCTGGCATTAAGCATATCTATCGTCGCTACCTGGACAAATACGAGCGCCTGAACTTCTTGGGTGAGGATCCCGACAAGCTGGAGGCCTTGGAGGCGGTCATCGAGTGTGCTGATTTGGGTGCCAGCGCCAGTCGCGCTCGTTCACGTGCCTTGGGTGGTGGCGGCGTCGGGGGTGTAGGTGGCAGCTTAACTGGCGGCAGCTGGGGCAGCATTTTTGGCATGCCGCACTCCACGCTGACGGCCGTGCCCATGGCGTATAACCAGCGCCAGCATATGGTGAATGCGGATCGCCGACGTCAGTATAAAATGTCCACACAGCTGCACAAGCACAGCAGCTATGAGAAGCTGCTGTTGTCGCTTATCTCACCGCTGCCCAACGAGCAGGACTTTGCCATCAATGTGTGCACGCTGATGGCCAATGAGCAGCGTCCAACGCTGCAGCTGAACGAGTGCCCCAAGCTGTTGGATGTGCTGCTGGCGCATTTGGGCGTCTATGCGGATTACAGCATGCGTCAGCTGTTCCAGCATGGCCACAACAATGCCGGCATGCAGGTGCGACGTCACTCGAAACTTAATTTCTGGCGGGATTTGCTCTACGATAAGCCACAAATTCTGGACCTCTACACGGACGAACAAGCCTGGCTGGACAATGGACTGATCAACAAGGAGAGCGACGCGTGCAATGATTATCTGTTTCAATCGGATGACCTCGATTTCGAGCTAGACTTTTTAAATTTACGTCGCAGTCATGGCACGGACGAGCGCATTGGCCAGCGTGTGCTGCAAATTGTGCAGCTATTGCGCAGCTTGAGTTTTCATCAGGATAACGTTACGCTGCTCGCCTCGAATCGTACGCTCTGGCGGTATCTGGTCATGGGGGCCAATGTTCGTTGGAGTAAGTAATCAAAATTAGCCAATACATCTAGTTTATCAGTTAGTAACGGTCCCTAAGATTCGTTTTTGTCCAAGCTTCGCTGATATCCTCGACTTAGATGCATTTTCCATATCTTTTGAATTGCAGGCAACATCCACATTCAGGCACTGGAAACGGCTGGCAATCTAGCGCAGCAGTTTGACCTGCTGGATCCCGCCACGGACGAGCTATCGCGCAATCTGCTGGCCACGCTGTGCGAGGGCGTCGAATCGAATGATCGCGCTGTGATCATCAGCTGCCTAGAGATACTCTACAAACTGTGCGGACGCGAGGGCAATGCCCAGCACATAAATCGTTGTCTTGGCTTGGATTTCTACCAGCGTGTGATGCTCTTTCTCTCGCTGACCGATGTGATGCTTTTAATCTTCACGCTGGAGACAATCTATGCGTTGAGCTCTTTGGGCGCACGTCCCTGCTCGATGTTGATGCAGGTGCGCGGTCTGCTGGATCAGCTGGTGGCCTTGCTAACCGTCGAGGCGCAATCATATGGCGCGGCTGGCTGCATTTTGATGCGCGTCGTGGAGGTGGTGCCGGGCAATATGTTGTCCACACTGGCACAGACCATACCGGGCACTCAAATGACACAACTGATGACGGTCAAGCAGCCGCAGCAGCCAGCGCCGATTGCTGCACTGCCGCCGCCAGCACCCACACATGTCCAAGTGTTACCGCCACAGCCAGACACCGTTTCGGTGCCTGTGCCTGCTCCCGCGACTACGCCCGCCCCTGTGTCCCTGCCTGTGCCTAGTTTGCCGCAGGTGCAGCTGCCTATGCCCAGTTTGCCGCAGGTGCAGCTACCGCCACCGCCAACCCAACAAGTATCGATGCCTGCTCCAGCAGCCGCCACAGTTGTGCTGCCTGGAACGCTGCCCGCACCGCCCTCCGCGCCGCAAAGTTTCACCCATGATGATGAGACCTATGCGCTGGCCTGGCTGCGTGCCACCTACGAGCGCGCCGGCAATGGTCATGAGTATCGCGTAGAGCAACAGGAGCTGTACACCATTTACCTATCGCACTGCCAGAAGGCGGGCAAACTTTCGGTGGTCAATCGGCTGCAATTTCCCCGTCTCGTGCGGCTCATATTCAATGCGAGCGTGGGTCCAGCCATTGTGCGCCAGATGGACGGCACCGATCTGCCCGGCACGCACTATGTGGGCATAAGGATGCGTGCTCAGCCTTTGCCCATGCAGCAGCAGCAGCAGCAACAACAACAACAGCAGAAGGCAGCAGCAACGGCGACAGCAACAGCTGCCAAAAAGGAGCCAGCGCTGGCGCCCAAATCAGAGACAACAGCTGTAGACGCATCTGATGAAGCAACAGGTACTCAAACGCCCAGCTCCTCGCTGATTAAGAGCCTGCTGGCAAATAAAGTTAACGAGCGGCAGCTGAAACAAAAGGCACAGGCCCAACCGCCTGCGCTGGTGGCCACCACATCCTCAGTCACGGGCTCCCCAGCCAACCAACCCATTAAGGTGACCTCCACGGCAATTAGCGCCTTTGTCAACAATCCGCTGATGCAGCACACGCCCGTAAAGGTGGGTCAGACCACCATAAAGCCGTTGCATCCGCAGCTGGCGCTGGAGAAGAAGCCAATGACGGACTCAGCGCCACCACCACTTGCTCCATTAAGCGGCTCCAATGTGCTTACGAAGGATGCGCAAGGACGCACCGTAATTATACAATCCAAACGCAAGCTGACCATCGATGAGGAGCAAAACAAGCGATTGGCATTGGATAGCAGCAGCAACACGCCCGCTGGCAAGGATGAGCCCCAGGTGACGCCCTCTAAGAATGCGGCCAATCTCTATGCAGATTTGGCTGCCTCGATACTAGAAGATGAGGATTTGGATGATGTGCCGCCGCTGGCAGCGTCCAGTCAAGAGCAACAGCAGACCACTCTGCAGCATCAACAACAACAACAGCAGCAGCAACATCAGCAGCAACAACAGCAGCAACATCAGCAGCAACATCAGCAGCAACATCAGCAGCAACATCAACAACAACATCAGCAGCAACATCAGCAGCAGCATCAACAACAACATCAGCAGCAGCAACATCAACAACAACTGCAGCTCATACCCGCCAAGGTGCAGCCCACACAGCGTCAGCTCATCTTTCCTGCTGGTAGCGCGGGAGCGCCACCGCCGCAGCTTAAATTGGCCACCACAGCGACCATTAAAACGGATCAGGGCTTGCAAACGGTGCCCGTCATATTGCAGAAGACAGAGCAACAGCAACAGCAGCAGCAGCCGACGCAAACACAGTATGTGCTGGCCACCAATCAGCAGGGACAGACCTATCTGGTGGCACAGCAAACGGCGCCAGTGGCAGCGGCGTCCAATGCGCCGGCCACGCCCACGCTGCTGGTTACCCAAGCGGCGCAGCAGCAGACCAAAACAATTATCATATTGCAACAGCCGGGTGTCAGTGCCAGCAATGTGCCCGGCACACAGAAAGTCATAATGACCACAGCGCAGGGTCAACAGGTGCTGGTGACAACAACCACAGCACCTGCGGTAGCCCAGCCACGGCCCGCAGCACAAGTCCAACAGCAGCTGCAACAACAGCAACAAATCTTCCTAAATCCACAGCGCGCGGTGCCCGCCGCCTTGGGTGCTGGTCAAATGTCACCCTCACTGCTCTCGCAACTCAATCAGATACCCGCCACCATTAAGCTGCATCAGCCGCAGCCGTCGCAATCGCCGCAGCTGCATCGTGGCGGCATTGTGGCCAGCAAGACAGCGCCCATACCACAGCTGCAGCAGCATCAGTCCATTATACAGCAGCATATCATCTCCGGCCCGGCGGCAGCGGCAGAGAAGCGGCAGTTGCTCCTAGGCGGCATCAAGGAGACAACGCTCATCACACAAACGCCCGCCACGGCTGCCCCACTGCAGCAGAGTCAACTCAATTCGCAGACAATCATTACCACACAGCCGCCGGCAGCTACCACAGCGGTTGTTGGCGCTGCACTGCAGCAGCAACAACAGCACATACGCAGCGTGCTCGAGCAGCAGCAGCAACATCATCCATCCATAATACAGCAGAAGATAACTATGCCCACAGTGGTGAGTTCTGGGGAGGATTACTATTTAGTTTATGCCACTGCAGAGAGTATTTGAATTGTCCGACGAGCTTATGTCTATGTATATATATGCCGAAATGGACTAGGATATATGAAAGTAGTGTATATATATTCTATTCTGCTCGATAATATTTTGTATATTGTATTGTAAACGGGGTAGGGCATAGGAGCTTGGCACATATGCATGTCCCATTTTGTCCAACGTAAAGTCATATATTCTATTACCATATACTGTATTTCGCATCTCTATATATATTTTTGATAAGTAGCAACTTTCGAGTCGTTATAGCCAGGTACGCCTGTCTGTTTTTTATGCAAGGAAAGGATAATCTCTCAATTGTGGTTACACATTTGCATTTGTACCAAGTTTTTTATTCAATAGGTCGGAGTTATTCTCAAAAACTTCTTTGCCTTAAACTAAAACAATCAGCAAAAAAATATTTAATTCGTTTCGGTTATCAATTCAACTGTTTCTTTTGGCTACTGGTCTATATCTATATAGATCTGATAGCCCTTTCTCTGCATTGGTATTTACACTTGGCCATATCAAAGAAAATAATCATTTCACTGTTAAAACAATTCTTTTTCTTTGCAGCTAACGGAGACGGTCAAAGCTAAAGCTGCGCCAGCAGCCGCAACCATTGCCAAGAAGCCGATGGGGCCGCCAACGCCGTTGCTGCCTGTGCAGCAACAACAGCAGCAGCAGCAGCCGGTGCAAATGCCTGCGCTGAAACCCACACAACAACTACAACAACAAGCGCAGTTAGTCAGCTGCGAGTCGAAGCCCAGCATTATGATTGAAGCCAAGCCGGCGGAGCAATCCACAATAACAGCAACAGCAACAGTTGCAGCAATGCCAGCAACAGCTGCCACAGCAATTGCTACGACCACAACAACAGCAACGAGCATTGTTAGCAATAGCAATCTAACAGCAGCCGGAGCAGCTGCCAGCGCTGTGCCCGTGGATGTCAATTGGCTGTTCATTTGCGATTGGCGCAATTGTCCGCGTCGCAAATTCAAATCGCTTAACGAGCTGCAGCATCATGTCTGCAATGTGCATTGTCCGGATCATTTGGATACCGGCGCTGAGATCTATTGCCAGTGGGGCAGCGGTCCCAGCTTGTGTGACAACATAGCCCGTAAGCGTTACTCACTGATGACGCATCTGGTGGATCGTCATTTGGCGCTGGATGATCTGCGTGCGAGCGTGCAGCGTCGCCTTGCCACGGGCATACACAATGTTGCGCCCACCCAGCCAACGGTCACAATTGTGCGCAATGTGGGCAATGCCAGCAATGCGCCAGCATCAACAGCGGCAACAACATCTGCCGCTGCTGCTCCAGCGACGACAGCCACGGCTGTGGGCACCTCGGCGCTGCAGGCAATTAAACGGCATTCGGCCGACTTTGTCAACTCCAAGGAGCTGTTGGACGAGAACGAGGGCCCAGTCACAAAGAGCATACGCCTCACGGCGGCGCTGATATTGCGCAATCTGGTCAATTACACATCGACGGCCAAGCGCAGCCTCAAGCGGTATGAGCCGCATCTGGCCAATGTGGCATTTAGCAATGTGGAGGCCAGTGGCGTCCTCTCCCACATACTGCACGAGCTCAGTCAGTAATCTCCCCAACTAACCAACTATCTAAATATATATATATATAGTATATGCATACATATATAAACATATTTTTCTACACCTCACGCTGCGCTGCTATAAAAAACAAAATATTTAAACTATTATTTCTATTAACTAACGACACTATTAAATGTGAACAAATTGAATGAAATGAAGTGAGCGAATATATATTTGGATTTTGGAATAACTCGCGTTCAATTTGTTGGGTAAGTTTCGAACAATGTATTTAACATAAATGAAGCAAAATCGAATTGATAATCTTAAAAGGTTTGGGAATTGTTTTATAAGTCGTTAATTCCAAAGGGTTTCGATTGTGTCCATGGATGGAGTTACAAATAATTTCCTATGCACGAATCTAGTTATATTTTTTTATCAAATTAGGGAGTAAAAAAATTATTTCTCGTTTAAATATGACTAAGAAATTTCTAACCACAATGAAAATGCAACACATGTTGCTATTAAATCGGTAGAAAGAGAATTTACTGAAGATGTTAGTCTTTGGTATGCATTTCGCCTAAAATAAATCAAATAAACATCTCAGAATGTTATTAACAAAATCTTGAAGGTAACAAAGAACAACAAAGAAAGAAATAGTCTCATAAAAAACATGAATTAACCCACAGATAAAATATGCACATATTTTATAATTTTTTTTTTTAATATATTAAGTATAAATCTCAAATGAATCTGGACAAAACATCACGACTGAGGCGCTTCAGTCTTTAGGAATCTTTAAGCACTTAAAAAATACCAAAATTGTTTGAGGCAGATTTTAAATAGGTTTTGGTCACAATATAAAACTTAAAATTGACTATAAAGTTTAGAGGATTACATGTGTAATACGGGACTGTTTAAATATGAATCAATTTACGGGTCGCTTATGCAGAAAGTTGCACATGAATTGTCAGTCGCTGCCAGTGCAGCTGCTTGGCAGAAAAAAAGAGGGTAGAGTGTGATTCAAACTGTAACACTTAAAAACTAATACACAATTGTGTCAAGGGTTTAGTTGTATAAGTCCCAGAGCGAGATCTGTGCATCCATGCCAGCAGCGGCCATGATAGGGGCGCGCCACAAGGACACAGGTTGTGGGGAGTAGGCGAGATCCATGACGCCGCCTTGTTTGTGCTGCGTCAGCACGGCCAGTGGTCGCAGGCTCTTCCACGAAAAGATGCGTATGCGACCATCCCAGCCAGCGCTGGCAAAGACCTTCTGATCGGAGCGTATGCGCACACAGTTGATGCCCGGATTCTTGATGCACAGCTCGGAGCCGCGCTGCAGCTGCATGGATTGTCGTTGATAGCTGAAGGTAGTCAGTTTGTCGGCTATGGTTGGCAAGCGGAAAACAACATTAATTGGCAGTTGAAGGGAAACAAATCATAGTGCTTTCTTACAAGCGCCGCCCACTATGCCGCGGTTCGTGGTGGGATCATAATCAACTGTCAAGGCTTCCGGCGCCAGTTCCATGACATCAATCATAACACCGCTGCTCAGATCCCAGGTGAGGAAATGCCCAGACTCGTAACCGGCGAGCAGAAAAAGCTGTGAGGCGCACTCGAAGGGCTTGAAACAGGTGACGCTGCCCAGCTTGGCCAATTGTGGATCATCCGGTATTAGCATCTGTGTAGGCGCCGCCGGATCCGTAACATGTAGCACACCAATTGCCGTCTCCTCGCACGGATAGAAGAGCAACTGCTCGTTTGTATTGTTGGGATTTATGTGCAGCGCTGTGCGACAATAGCCCAAATGATTGCCCGGTATGCTGCGCTCCTTTACGTAGCTGTTGCTGCTAATGGAGTACATGGTTATGGTGCCACCTTTCTCCTGCGTGATCAAGTGCTCTTTGGTGTGATGTAGATTCGTAATTGGCGCGTTGCCCACCTCAAAGTGCAGCGACGAACGGTTTGTCTTCAAAACAACAATGATTTGTTTTCGTTTTAATGTTTGTTGTTGTTTTTGGCTCACCTGTAGATCCCAGAGAAATACTCTACCTTTGAGGGTGCCCGCCAGCAGGCGCTCGCTCTCATGAAAACATACGGAGTTCACGGCGCCCATGTCCGGGCAACGTAAACTGAATACGGGATCAGGTGGTAGCACAGCCATTTTAAAACGTGAATTGAATTAATTAAATTGAACTAAAGCGTGTTGCGTTGCAATGTCGATAAGATAAATAAAGGGTGTCGCGATAAACAGTGGTGGCAAATCGATGACGATTGCAATGTGGAACCAGTTACAAATACAGTATAAGACAGTATAAGTGTGCTCTATGCAATCATTTTTATGAAAACAAATTACGTAACATGAAAACAAAAGCAAACCTAACATATTCATTAAAAGGGGTATTGACTTTGACAAATATCGAAATGTCAATGGCTCGATAAATTTGTGTATAAGATCCACAACTCACAATCCACATACACAGTCAGCTGTGTGCTGTTATTGCAGGCGCATGCCGCCAGATGTCGTCAGTGTGCTGGCGCGTCACGTACATGTTTGAAAAAGCTTTCAAAAGCGATAAAACAAACTAGAACAAACTGAAAGAAAAATATATTTTATGCCTCTAGCAAATTTTTATCAAATTGTCGCACAGCCTTTAAGTGAAAATAAGCTGAACGATTTTACAGCAAAAAATATCATAAAATGCGCTAAATGCGCACAAAGCGCACAGTTGCCATTAAAAAACATAACGTGGCAGCAAAGCCGAGCGACTTTAATAGACTTTAGCAGCGTCCAGCGTGAGGGGCCTAGACGTTAAGGCAACGATCATAAAAAGACTTGTCGCATGTACTTGGGCTGACTGTAACAACCTAATGCCAAACGGCCTAAAAAGCATACAGATAAAACATGCCCCTCCCAAAAAAAAAGATCGCAAAATAAACATGCTATAAGCTCGTTAATCAATGCTAAGTTGACAGTTTTAAGTGGCTTTACCGATTTTTTTTTTGTGTTTTGGTTTTCTTCATTTTTTATTATATCTTTTTCCATTTGGTACAATCAACAAGAACAACGCTGGAGACTCCTGTTGCGTTCAAATGATTTAGTAGACGCTACAATAGGGCCAGCCAAAATTAAAACAAGCTATTTTTAATAAGAATTAATTATTTTTGAAATATGTTTATAACAATTTGGTTTAGTTTTGATATTATACAAAACATAATTTTATTTTTTTTTTATTTTAGTTTTGTTTTTGTTTATTTTAGTATTTTTTTATTTTTATATTTGACATGCATGTTAATTCATGCGAAATTTGTTAACATTAAATATAGTTTTTGTGGCTTACAAATTTTGATTTTATTTCGATTTAAATTACTTATTTCAATCTTTAGAGGCATAGTTTTGGTTATTTTGGTCTCATTTTAAATTTATTGGACTGGCTGAGGGAACTAGGAGCACAGTATTAGATTGTTTAATATGGCAACACTTAGAATTAATTTGACATGCATGTTTATTTTCTATGCAGGGCTTATATGTTTCTTGGAACTCATAGATTGTGAGCTTATTGATTAAATGCTGATAAATAATTGTCTAGAAATACAGATTTGTTAAACTGTTTAAATGTTAAAGTGTCCTGAATCTCAAATTACAGCTAAACATTATAAGAATGATACAATTTAGGAATAATCAATACTATGCGATATTGGAAACTTCGGACAAGATGTAAAAAATATTTGACATGCATGTCAAATTTTTAAATTGAAATTCATTTTAATTGCTGGATAAGATGGGTTTAAGAAATGTTGTCAAATGCTGTCAAATTAGTTATGGTTAAACATATAACAAATTTGACGTAAATAGGTTCAAAGTACACTTGAGTTGACATTAATATTAATAGCAAGAATTTCCTTAGTTAATTGCCTTAAACTGCTGTGTGATTGGACATTCCAGGCAGCTGTTGCAGCTTTCGACTAGACCCTTAGATCTAGACGTAATTGTAGTTTAATGAGGGCGCAACAAGTTAACAACTCTCACGAATGTCTCGCGGAATTCCCCATCCCGTTTTGTTTAAACGTGTCTAAAATGCGGCTAAAAGTTCCTTTAACGGCCAAAGCCAATCGTAAAAAAGGTTAAAGCCTTTCCACACCAGACATAGAGCTCATTTGCTTTGGTTTCGGCTCTTATTGATTCGGACTGACAGACAGAGCAGCTGTCCTCCAGAGTGAGAGAGTCAAAAAGAGGAGAGCCATAAATCTTTTTGCCACAGCCTCGAGGTGAGGCGTTTAGTGGCCTAAACTATTTATGCATGCGGCTATCTGGGTAATCCATTTGAAATGGGTCAACAACTGCAACTGGCGACTCCTTAAACGATTCGCATGACCCAAAACCCAATACCCAGCCCAGTTCTTCGTTTCCAGTTCCCAGTTCCCAGTTCCCAGTTTCAGTTTCAAGCAGTTCAGTTCCAGTTGAGAGATGTTTTAAAACATATTAGCTTGTTACCTTAATGAAGTCATAAATTTTCGCTATCGCAGTGGAGCATCTCCTCGTGCCTCTGCCTCTGCATCTGCCGGCTGCAGGTTTCTAAGGAATTCCAATTCCTCTATCCAAGCATTTTTTTGGCACACAACTGAAATTGAGAAAAAAAAGGAAACACCATATCCATATCCAAAATTCATATATGACCCATGCTCGATAGTTAATCAGGCTTAGTTTGATATATGCTGACAGTGCCGGCCTCTGGTGTAGGCCGCCAGCTCAGCACCAAAAGGGGTGGCAGTACACAGGGGGGGTGGTGGGGAGAAGAGGGGGAGGGGACAGTGCCAGGACAACCCGCTGTGCCTGTTCCGCGTATCCACGCATCCGATCGCTATGAAAATGAAGTTATCACGCGACAAACAATGACCCGTCCGCATTGCTACCTATAACTTTATATGGTTGTCATTATTAGCCCGGCATTGAAATGGACTCACAGCGCCAATTTATTTATGCGCTACCTTAATGGAGCCCATCTATATAGACCAGTTCGCATATCGAATCCAGAGAGTCCAGCGTTGCCCATGTGCCTGCCCAGCTTCAGTTTCCCTCTCAGTTCTTTTTTATTTGCCGTTTTTATAGTATTATTTTCGCAGTGTCCATGAATCATATTGAGCGTAAGAAAGAACTATAAAATACGTTCCCTGGAAGCCAGAGGGCATCTTTGCACATAAGCTGAAGGTGTTGGAATTTTGATTTGACTGCAACAATGCAGCTTGGCTTGAAGTTAAAAAGCTATAAAATAAATATAGGGAAAATATATTCAATTATTGTGGCGTATAGAAGGGATTAAGGCTGTGTAGAAACGGTTGTGAGTATTACCGAGATTCGGGTATCAACAAGTAGAAGGTGCTCTAGCCGGGAGTGCCCGACTAGGGGATACCCTGAACTTCCTTGGTGGGTGTAACTATAAAATGAAGAACACTTAATCTGTATATACTATCTGTCAAATTTGGTGACTCTGGCCATTAAAAGCTCAGGCATTTGATTAAAAAACTGGATTTCGATATCGATTTTTATCGGTGGCTTGGAAAGTGCGCAAGTTATCGATTATTGGAAACAAACTACGCGAGCACTTCGGGGAGCTACGTTCCCGTTGATCTTTAAATATTAGTTTACGGGCGATAGAGTTTAATACAATCGTTTTCCACTCATTTTTCACATTTGCGGGTGGAAATTTAAAAAACCCTCAGCTTTCCAGGTCTTTGGACTGGAAGACGATCACCAATTAGTCAGAAAACGGGGCAAGTTATCGTTTATCAGAAACAAACTCGTACTGCGCGGGCATTTGCCTATTTTCAATGAGTTCAGGATATAAAAATTAAAGGAATATTTAAAAAAAAAATCCACTTGATGTGCTGCACAAATTACAAATAAATATAAGATTTTTAATTAAAAAAATGATAAATGCAAGAAGTTTTAGATTTTCTAGAGCAAATATATTTATAAAAAGATAATATAATAAATAAATAAAATATATATTTTTAAATGATTTACGTCGAGCAACTTTTACGTATCTTCTAGAGTTGGTTGCGACATATACAATTGGGCCTATAAAAGGCTTTAACATGGCTGCAATTCAACAAATATTTGTTGACCTTTTGGTTCAGGGCGTAATCCAATGCCTCGTCTTAAGTTTGGGTTAGGATCGTGAGCCTGACTTTTGACAGCTGCAAGCACAGGTTTTGACTTAAGCCTTGCGATGTTAAATTGCTTTACATTTTCTAAAGAACTAAGCAAGTTGCTGACATTAAACTGTTTCGAATTAAGATTGTTTGTTAGCTTAAAAACAAATTGAAGCCCTAGATCTGGAATGGAAAGTGATGCAACGCAAATTCCATTTGCTAACAAAATTTTGTGGCGACCACTTAAAAAACTCAACCAACCACAACAAATGTAGGAAAGAAGAAAAAAACCCGAGCAGACAACTTCAGCTGTATTTTTGTTGTTGTTTCTTTTTTTTCTCCAAAGCACAATCAATTAAAACATCGACGTCTATCAGCATTATTATAAATCAAACGATAACATAAAATTGACACTAAAGGCGTTTCGCCCATTTTTCATGCGACGACGAGATTAAGCCTCCAAATTGTAGATTGTAGCTCCAAGAAAAAAAAAACACCAAACACTATATAGCTGAAAAGTGTGCCCAAAAAAATTGAAAAAAAAAAACTAGAGCTGAGCTTTGTTTTTATATATGCAAATTGAACGTTGGCCAAACTGGACGGGAAAAACTGGTCGGCACGCCAAAGTGCTCAGTAATTGATCAATTTCCGCAGACCGGAATAAACAACTATACAAAAAAAAAAGAAAAGAAAAACTCAAATCGAAAACGAAACGTATTCAAGACAAAAGACCCGCAGTTGATAATGCGTTGGCCACACTTGATTTTTATACCCTGAACCCATCGAAAATGGGCAAAAAGGGCATCATGTCTTTGTGCAAATGTATGTAACAGGCAGAAGCGAGCATCTCCAAGCCCATAAAGTATATATATTCTTGATCAGCATCAATAGCCGAATCGATCTAGTCATGTTCTTCTTTCTGTCTGTCCGTCTGTCTATCTGTCCGTCCTGTCGCCCATCCGTCCGTATGTATGAACGCCTCGATCTCAGAACCTTTAACAGCGAGAGACTTGAAATTGAAAGTAGATCCTCCTAGTGCCCGTGCAGTACGAGATAATCCAACCAATAATCGAT